TTACATAATTATTACTTTTTATTTGGTGCCTAAAAGCAAGGATGGATAAACCATTTTTATTTTAACAGGCCCAGGCAGAATAAGATAAGATAAGACTAAAATTGTTGGAAAACTGAAAACCTAAAATTGGTTTGGCAAGATGTTATTCTCTTTCTCTTGTTTTCGTTATAGATTTATAGGAAAAGGAAAAAATAATAGTCTTGTGATATTAGGAGATTAAGTGACATGAAAAGTTAAGTTAGATTTATAGATTTAAGGTTTTTAAGAGGCAGCGAGGAACGTGTGAGGAAGCGTCGAGACTAGTGGTCACGGTGGCAGTGAAACAGCGCACTCGGTTTTTACTTTCAATTGGCGTCGAGACTAGTGGTCACGGTGGCAGTGAAACAGCACACTCGGTTTTTACTTTCAATTGGCAGCACACTCAAACACGGTGTTAGGTGCCAAAAATTCCAATATTCTCGTCATGTTCTTGTACACATCCACATTTTTCATTCCCCTTTTCCTTTTTGGGAGCCCTTCCTACCATTAATTAAAAAATATTAACACCCCAAAGTCAAACACTAGAATATAAATTAAAAAATTAATTAAGGAATAAAATTTTTTATAATTTTATATATTATTAAATAATTAATTCATTTTACCTACAAAAATTCATATCATTATATATATTTATTTGATAATATGTAAAAATTATATAAAAAATTATTTGTATATGATACCATATAAATTTTTTTATTTAATTAAATAATTTAAAAAATAATATATTTAACACACCCTTAACTATTAAATAGAAAACAAGTTAGACAAAACAAAAGCAAAAAGAAAATCCAAAACTAAACGAGCATGTAATGTGTTTGTCTCCATTAGACACAAAAGAAAAAAGAAAAAAAAAAGTGGGTAAAACGTGTTAGAATGCGGTTAATTACCAAAGAGTTTTAATCCTCGATTTTAGTACTTGACGAAATTTTTCTAAACTTTAGAGGCAGTTATTTAAAAACATGGATACATATTTTACTGCTTGATGGATTCACACGTTAACAAATGTGACCAACTTTTGACCGATGTGTTGTCAAACCCCAATCCAGTCACAACTTGGGTCGGTGATAGGCGCCGATGGGGACTTCACTGGACCCTCGATGAATAAGAAGGCTGCATGTAATTAAACCAATTGCCGTTCATTTTCTTCTACCCACCACACCCAAATTTATACCTTATAACTTTTTGGAAAAGGACATTTTTATTGCTAAATTATTAGGTTAGTATAAGGCAAAACTTTTTCAAATGGTTCTAAAAAAGAATAAATTTCATACTAAATTAAGTTTTTGTTTAGTATGATTTTAGTTTGTGGTTTTTACTTTTAATTTTTTTTATATAAATTAATTAAAAATATGCATTTATTACACTCTTAATTTCTATTCTATACAAACTCAAAAGTATAAGTGTCTTGATCTTATAGTTATAAATGTTATATAAATTTAAAAAGGGTTGATCTAACTTGTGGCTTAATGGCATAATTTAAGGATGTATTAATTGTACCTTTTGTAATTAGTTTATATAGAAAATTAAATTTTACTTTAAATTTATCAAGTACCTAATTAAAATTGTTTAATTAATATTGGTGTTAAAAACAAGAATAATGATAATTAGGACTAAAATTTGGGAGCAAAATATTAAACCAATGATGTAACTTTCACTATGTCATTTAAAATATTAAAAGA